TGGAGTGACACCCCAGTCAAAAAAGGTCTGAACACGCCCATATTCACAGGTGATTCAGGTTCAGATTTATTTATTTGCGCAGTAAAACACAACAGCAGAATCACAAACAAGAGAGAAGAAGCAAACTGTGCAGGTGAGATAGAATAGCATCATAAGCAGATAGTTAATGAATGTACTCCAAGTACAGAAAAAGTAAAGTAAGCAATGTAAATAAAGCAAAAAACATAAGTAAATGTTTAAGTTACTCCCCAAATGTTACTGCACTATATGAGATAAACAAAGCTATAATAAAGAGTTAAAAGGACTTCTAATGGACCAAACTATGATATTTGCCAATGATGTCAAAAGATTTGGTTAATTTATTGCAAACAAACCAAATGTGACTCTTCAAGCTCAGTTTTATCAATCAGGACTCAAATGAAAACTTATTTATTTCATGTAAATGTGATCAAATCTGATTTATTGACACTGAGAGATATCTTGATTAACTGGAACCATTTTAAAATTCTTCCTCAATCAGCATCAGCTTTGGCTGTACAGAGAAATACACTGGTGTCATCTGCAACAAGTATTCGGTACATAGAGGACGATGCAGCAGCCGTATGAATAAGGAAAAGGAGTGGCCCGAGGGTAGATCCCTGTGGGACGCCGCAGGTTATAATGGCCCTTTATCCTATTCGGGAGCTGACTGATGACTCTATATCCTAATTTAGAGTTGTTTGAATTTGTATTCTTTGTATGAATATGTTTTCTTTACCTCTTATAATTAGCAATATTCATAGGGGACGGATTTCTGATGCATTCCTCGTATAAACCTATTTTTTCTTGGGTTGGGAGGAAGGTGCAGGTTTCACAGACGCTTCAGGTTGTGAGACTTTGGGTGTTGGAGACGATCCAGGTTGTCCTGTAGGTTGTTCTGCTGTTGTAGAACTAAAAAGGGAGACGGAGAGAATGAATTATTCATCTGTTCATGTAGAGGTTTATTAGTGGTGCCAGTCTGTTAGCATGATATCATAACCTGGGACCTGTTAGCTTTAGCTTCAGTCTGTTACAGTAACAACGTCATTTACAGGTAAACAGCAATCAATATCTGTGTTTTTAGATAAATGTCTTATTAATATTTATCAGTTCTGACCAAATATCAATTTGACGAAAACCAGAAAGAAATACTGAAGATAAATAAATATAAGAGGAAACAGAGAGCGTCTATAAATGTCTTCTGACCTCTTCTCTCCAGCTTCTCCTCCGTCTTCAGATTCTTCTTCTGATGACGACTCTGAGGCGACTACACAGATAACAGTTAAAGGAGGAACAGAAATTTGTAATCTTCCAAAAGTTTTATAGTTATATAATACATATTTTGTTAGCGATCACAAGCTAACGTTAGCCAGCTAGCAGCAACAATGATATTTTTATTTTCTTACAATATTTTGGTGTTTTTTTATTCAGTTGATCGTTTGGTATCACAGTCAGTGTGTCGTGGTTGAAGGAAATGATCAATTATCCAACACAAGGTTGCTAACTCTTCATGCTACACATAATCCACAATGTCAGTATTGTTTGTTCTTACCTGAAAGTATGAGTCCGATGGCCAGCACTGAAACACACAGACTCTAATAATCAATAAATGTGATACTGTACGATCAGATCAACACACTGTTCAATAAAAAATTATTAAAAATACATGAGAACATTAAAAGATTATTGTCTGGAAAGTCACATTGTTCATTCTCTTCCCTTAAAATTAACATTAACATTAATAAACGTCTCTGTGGGGTTTGGGACAGTTTTTTGACATTTATAGATGTAACAATGAATCTAATAATCAAAGAAAATTGTATTAGATTAATAATCAATAATGAAAATAATTAAAATCTGCTTTAATTGAGTTGTGTGATCACACTTGGACCAAACTTCCTGAAAAAGGTTAAAGGAATAATTCTGGTTGCAGATCCTTTAGGCTGAAGTCTGTTTTTACATCAGTGAGGTTAATACGTTAATTTCTTTAATGGAGTTCTGAATGTAAAGTTATTAACTCAAACACAGTTAAACAGTTATTAACACTGCCGGTGAACAGATGGAGTACTCACAGGCCAGCAGGGTGAACTTGAATGAAGCCATGTGTGCAGGTCTACAGGAAGTTCTCCGTGGTTCGATTGGTTGGACGACTTTCCCTCCAAAGATCCAGAAGAAAGAGATGTCTCCTCCAAACCAACGAAAACATTTATACCCTGAAAACCGACACTGACTGTTTAATGAACACACCTCTGCCTAAAGCGGATCTTATTTTAATATAAATAGTGTTTGCACAGGAATCGAACAAATGAATGTGCTTCAGGTTATACACGTTAAAAAGATAACACTGACTTGAGAACAAAGTTTACTGAAGCAATAATTCGTTAAAACGTCGACTTTAACCTCCTAAATAAACTCTCGGCTTTCTGTGTGTCACAGGTGAATATGGTAAAAACTATAACTAACAGATATCAGTTCATAACGTACATTCACACAATTATTGTTCGTATTACAGGTTTTCTGAAATGTTATCTAATTTTTTAATTATCTAATTAGAAATGTGCTGAACGTTGGATAAAAGTTCTGAAGTGTTGATTTATCATCAGTTTTTATCGATGCATAAACCATAAAATACCGTCAACACACATTAAAAATCAATATCCACCATGTTTCTAGTGATAAATGTGATCAATTAGGCTGTGAATGTGTATAAAAACCTTCAGACTACAGAGAGCAATGAAACTGGAAAGCTACACAGAGCTAACGATAGCTTTCTGCTAGCCAAGAGCAACGCGAGGCAGGGGCAGGTGGTTTGTAGGCCAACGACAGCCAAACAATATCCTGTTTCCAGGATGAAAAGCTCACTGGAGTTTCAGTTACCAAGCTCCTCTCCTGTGGAACCAGCTTCCAGTTGTGGTTCGGGAGGCAGACACCCTCACCACATTCAAGAGTAGGCTTAAGACATTCCTCTTTGATAAAGCTTATAGTTAGGGCTGGATCAGGTGAGTCCTGAACCATCCCTTAGTTATGCTGCTATAGGCCTAGACTATCGGGGGATTTCCCATGGTGCACTGAGCTCCTCTCTTCCTCTCTCTTTCTGCACTCATTCATGTCCCATTAATGCATGTTACTAACTTCACTTCTTCCCCGGAGTTCTTGTGCTTTCTCGTCTCGCAGGTCCTCATGGATCCTGGTGGAGCCTCCTGCCATGGTCCTGCTAGATTGCCATTGCTAATATCACTGATATTACTGTTATTATTATTTGTCACCTTTGTCTCTGTCCTTCTCTCTCTTCACAAACATTTCACACACAAACGTCTGCGCTCTGATTGGTTTTTATTCAGCTTGTTTTCAGACAGTTATATATGTATATATATATATATATATATATATATATATATATATATATATACAGGCAGGTTATAACCACAGGAAGCAGCAATAAAACAAACAGCGTCCTGCTCAGGAAGCACACAGTTAAATCAGTGTGTGAAATACAGTCATACGATACTGGTGGAACTGGATCAGATTTTATGGATAAATATTTCCTGGTTTTCCGTCTGACGTCCTTCGGCTGCTCAGCTTCAACTCTCTGTTTCCTGATGGACAGATAGCTTTAGCTAATGTAGCTAACTGCTAATTAGCTGCTGGTAACTGTATCTGCTGTTAGCGGGCGACAGAACCTGACTCAGCAGCCGGACAGGCATCGAACACAGCCTCTGAGACCGACAGGGAAAAACGTTACAGCACCGAGGTCATTTATAGAGTTTCTGAGAGTTTAGCCGTTAGCAGCTAAGCTAACTGACTCACCCCCGGGACGCCAGGAACCAAACCCGGTAGGAGAACCACCTCGGTACTGGATTCTCTGTCGATCTCGGAGATTGTGTTCAATCAGTCTTCCCTACTTCCTGTTCTTACAGGAAACACAAACAACTTCTTGTTTCATGGAGGATCTTTAAAAAGCTTTGGTGACCCCTAGTGGCGCTCCCGACCCTCAGGTTGGGAACCAATGATCGGCTTCACTGTGAGTCAATGTATACATATTCTGACACACACCCCTATATTGTCATTTGAAAATAAATAAATAAACAAAAATTAAACATTTTAAAACAATAAAAACCTGAAATGAAACCAAATGAAAATAAAAACTAATGAAAAATAATTTCACTGTTGGTTTACAGATAAATCTGTGTAACATATAGGAGGAAAAATAAGTGGCTGATGTTATTTTTAATCACTGTTGACGGCACCGGACCCCCGATTGTCAGATTATTATTTCACACACTGAATTAAAACCAGCAGCCAAACACATCTGACTTTATGGAGAATAGTGTGTGTGTGATTTATTTAATGTAATGTAAAGGTTTAATGTGCACTCTTTCTCTGTAAATCCAGTTTATTTGTGGTCCAGGTGTGAACCGGGCTCTCTAGTCCAGGGTGTAGATGTTCTCCTGCACCGGTCTTCTCATCCGGATCTCATAAATGATGTGAGGAGGTTCTTCAGAGGAGAAACTGGAGGAGAAAGATAACAGACGCTCGTCAGCATACAGCAGGTCCAACAGAGTCTTATATTTAATACTGTTTCAGTAACGACACAATTCAATTCAATTTTATTTGTATAGCGCCAATTCATAACAGAAGTTATCTCAGGACACTTTTCACAGAGAACTGGACCAGAACCTCCAGTTTGTGTCTCTATATGAATCCTCCAGTTCCAGCTTCCTGAATGACAATAAACTGAAAATATATCATCCTGAAAACTACTGAGAGGCTCCTCAAAAGTCCCAATAGTTCACTTCATGACAGGATAATAAATGTGTTTCTCTAATACCACCATCTTGGATTTTGACGAGCCAGTGATGAGATGCATTGTGGGATAGTTTAGGAACCTGTAACTACTTCACAAAATCCAGATCCAAGATGGCGGTGTTGTGACCTGTGTTGAACTCACCAGCCGCTCTTCAAGGCTCTTCTGTATATTCCACCTGCAGACAGAAATAAGGTTTTAAATGTATTAAACGTAAAGTTCAATCGTCTTTAGTTCGTTAGCGTCGCTGTGGTTTGAAAGTAACGTACGTTTGAAAGCCAGAAAGAGAAAAACTGCGGCCAAGATCAGCAACACGCTGAGGGAGAGCGAGAGGACGGGAACATTGATCTGCAGGGAGAGAGAGGATAGAGAGTCCTCCACCTGACACACAGAGAGAGAGACGTTAGCCGGAGGAAGCTAGCTGACAGTAGTTTGCTACGTTAGCAAGCACAAACAGACAATATGTTCCACTAGCTTAGCATTAATGTTAGCTTTGACTCTGTGTTGGACTCTGTGTTGGACTCTGTGTTGTGGACTCTGTGTTGGACTCTGTGTTGTGGACTCTGTGTTGTGGACTCTGTGTTGTGGACTCTGTGTTGGACTCTGTGTTGGACTGTGTTGGACTCTGTGTTGTGGACTCTGTGTTGTGGACTCTGTGTTGGACTCTGTGTTGGACTCTGTGTTGTGGACTCTGTGTTGGACTCTGTGTTGGACTCTGTGTTGTGGACTCTGTGTTGTGGACTCTGTGTTGTGGACTCTGTGTTTGGACTCTGTGTTGGACTCTGTGTTGTGGACTCTGTGTTCTGGACTCTGTGTTGGACTCTGTGTTGTGGACTCTGTTGTTGGACTCTGTGTTGGACTCTGTGTTGGACTCTGTGTTGTGGACTCTGTTGTGGACTCTGTGTTGGACTCTGTGTTGGACTCTGTGTTGTGGACTCTGTTGTGAGACTCTGTGTTGGACTCTGTGTTGGACTCTGTGTTGTGGACTCTGTGTTGGACTCTGTGTTGGACTCTGTGTTGTGGACTCTGTGTTGGACTCTGTGTTGGACTCTGTGTTGGACTCTGTGTTGTGGACTCTGTTGTGGACTCTGTGTTGGACTCTGTTTGTGACTCTGTGTTGGACTCTGTGTTGTGGACTCTGTGTTGTGGACTCTGTGTTGGACTCTGTGTTGTGGACTCTGTGTTGTGGACTCTGTGTTTGGACTCTGTGTTGTGGACTCTGTGTTGTGGACTCTGTGTTGGACTCTGTGTTGTGGACTCTGTGTTGTGGACTCTGTGTTGTGGACTCTGTGTTGGACTCTGTGTTGTGGACTCTGTGTTGTGGACTCTGTGTTGTGGACTCTGTGTTGGACTCTGTGTTGTGGACTCTGTGTTGTGGACTCTGTGTTGGACTCTGTGTTGGACTCTGTGTTGTGGACTCTGTGTTGTGGACTCTGTGTTGGACTCTGTGTTGTGGACTCTGTGTTGTGGACTCTGTGTTGTGGACTCTGTGTTGGACTCTGTGTTGTGGACTCTGTGTTGGGGACTCTGTGTTGTGGACTCTGTGTTGTGGACTCTGTGTTGTGGACTCTGTGTTGTGGACTCTGTGTTGTGGACTCTGTGTTGTGGACTCTGTGTTGTGGACTCTGTGTTGGACTCTGGAGCATAAAGGTCACAACCTTTAGAAAGTGAGTGATTCGTCTGAAACCGAACTGGCTAGATAATTTACATTAATTGTTAGTTAGCATGTTAGTTAGCGCTTTGCTAAATCAAACAGCTATTTGACATCAGTGGTTTGATAGCTAGTTACATCTGAAAGCTATTGTTGGTTAAATGCTGGCTATCAATCATTTGAACTTTTAGATTTAACTAGCTCGCTTATAAGTGGCGTAAATTAGCTTGCTAGTTACCTAGCTGCTACAGAGCAACAAGCTAGCTAACTTGCTACTTAGCTAATGCTGCTATACAGTAGGTGTTAGTACAGTAATCAGTGAGGCCAGAGATGTCTGTAACAGCCCTCAGAAACACTGCGCTCTGGCGGCGTCAGAAGAGAGAAAGCGTTTGATTGGACTCATCAAATTGTTAAAAGAATTACTGTTATTGATTATCAGGAAACTCCATTAGAGAAACACCATTCAGAACAGCTGAAGATACCTGAAACCAGATCAGTTTCCTGCTACTCACAGTGACGGTGTCGGACAGCAGCCGGGTGGAGTTCCTCCTCAGAAGGTCCAGTTGAGACGACAGCAGAGATTTCCAGTTTACTACATAGAGACAGACACATGAACTCACTCAGAGCTGCACCAGTAAACCCAGTCATCAGAACCAGCTGATACCAGATACACCGGACCTGAACGTGGTCTCACCTGTGGAGGTGGACGGCTCCGTCACTCGACTGGTTGTTGCTGTTGTTGTGGTTGGAGGTGAACTGGTGACCGGAGCTGAAACCAGATCAAACTACGGTCAGATTACCAGATACCAATAACCGTTTATATTAAAATCATTAAATATACAATCAAAGAATAAAAGACAGAGGTTTTATGTAAATCCTATTAAAATAGGTGGTTTCACACATTTCCTGCTAAAAATACAGCGTTTGTGCCACATTTGAATCCAAGATATGGCGAATATATTGTCTCCAGTGACGTTACCATCCATCTTCATGTTTAAGCTCAATAAGACACAAGGCCTAATACGACCAATCAACTACCCATAAAGGTTTCTTTTTTAAATTTCCTGATTTCATAACAGCTTTTTTAAAAAGAAAAAACTTATTTTTAGGCATTTTTTCCATTAGATTGAAGAAGAAAGTGAACATTGCAGAACTAGTTGCAATTGTTTTGGGATGATTAATCAAAAATCAATGGTAATGTACGGAGACCCTAAAGTCACCAAAAGGAAACATTTTTTATCTTGTGCGCACAAGATAACTTACTACAAATTAATATGCATATCTTACAGTTTCAGATGCACACAGCTGTCATATAATGGAGAGAACTCAGCTTATCAAGTTTTATTTTCACCTCGGAACGTCATAACATGAAATTCTTGCTGCTCTTAGGGGGGCTTGGACACTTCGGTAAAACAGGCGAATAACAGAAAACTATCTTATCAACCAGCTCACCCACCAATAACATAGCAAATTGACTGCTTTAATAAAGCAATGAACACAGCAATGTTTCAAACATAGTGGAGAAATCAGCAAACATATGCCTATAAAGCCATAAGATAATAACTTAAGGCCCACAAGATAAAAAATATTTTCATTTTGGGGACTTTAGGGGCTCCGTAGTAATGTCTTCCAGCGAGAATAAAATCGAACCATTTGACTGTGAGACGTCTGTGTTGCAACTTCACAGCCAGAAACAAAGGAAGTGAGTTTGTGTGGAATTGGTTGAATTTACGTTGTGTTTTTTTTATGTAAATGTTATTCTGTTAAAATATTTCCACTAAATTTTTTGGAATTTCATAGCCTTTTGTTTTGGGAATTAAATAATTTCCCATCTTTCCTGCTAAAAATACAGAGTTTGGTTGATGTTTGTCGAGTCAAGGTTATAATTTGAGATGCTAAAATGTCCTCAGACCATAGAGATACTGTGAAAATGGGCCTATATGTGGATATTTTGTGTGTAACGTTCCTTCAGTGTTATGTGCCAAGCAGTACCTTTAACTCAATTATTCCAATGCCTTATTATCAATAAAGTGTTATTGTTTAAGAATCATTCTTATACCCAGTGACACAACTACAGTAACTCAACCATTGCTCAGGGAAAAGGGACCCTGGACGAGCCCCCATTTGTGTCACCAGTCAACTGCCCATATCGACCTGTATTCAATGTGTCTCACCTTTGACTACTCTCAGGTTCATGATCACCTTCTTGTCGTTGAACATCCCGTCGATGTCCACCCTGCAGCAGTACGGCCCGCTGTCTGTCCGCCTCACATTCAGGATGTCCAGGTCCATCTGTCCGTCCAGGACGTCCCCATTGAGCCGGTACCGGTCTGCCACCTGCAGCACCAGGGTCAGGGTTAGCCAGAACCATTTCATTTTATTTTCATGGTACACATTAATGAAGTGTGTCTGGGAGCCGGACCTCACTGATAACAAAGACACAACTTCATTATCAGTACACAAAAACTAGTTCTTTTTTTGACGTCCTCCGGCTGCTCTGCCTGAACTCTGTGTGTGGTGTGTGTGTTTAGAAACTGTGTGTGTGTGTGTGTTTAGAAACTGTGTGTGTGTGTGTTTAGAAACTGCGTAGCATGCAGCATTCATAAAGTGATAAAGAAAGAGAAGAAAAAACTAAATTAAAAACTTTTCCCAACCTGACCTTGGAGATGACACCGTTCTCGTCCGTCTGCACCAGGATGTTGTTGCACCAGAATGTCCCGCAGCCGCGACCCCAGCAGACCCGGCTCAGACCATAACGCTTCACCGAGTAGTGACAGGACAGAGAGGCCATGCCCCCCTCTGCCACTTTAAAACAGGAAACAGACCACAGGTGTCCACCTGCAGCACAGTAACAAACTGTTTGTACGCTGAGGCTTAAAACTCAGTAACACAAGTACAATTCTGCTGTCTACATCTAAGACATATTACAGTCAGAGCACTTTTAACTACATTTTACTCATATACACACATTTATTTTTAATACTTGTAACAAAGTTTTTTACAGTGTGATATTAGTAATTTTACTGCAGTAAACAATCTGAATACTTCCTGCTGGTGTTGTGATGTCATCAGTTTGTGTCTCACCTGACAGGACGAAGAGGACGATGATGAAGGTCTGAGGCGTTGGACATCGGCGAGGCGACGCAGCAGCCATCCTGCGACTGTGTGTGTGTGTGTTTACTGTCCAGTTAGACGACAACAGTGTGACTCTATGACGGAGCTGTGTGTGAGAGTGTGTGTGTGTGTGTGTGGAGGGAGGAGCGAGACACACAGTGTGTTACTGTGTCTGTTTGTGTGGTTTACTGTGTGTGTGACGTCTCCATGATGAAGTCTTCATTGATTCTCTGAGAGAGGAAAGTAACATTTACTCAAACGAGGGAAGATACTGAATCCTGTTCTGTCTCTATAATAATCAGTGTGTGTGTGTGTCAGTGTGTGTGTGGGTCAGTGTGTGTTAGCAGACAGTGAACAGGTTGTAGTGTAGCTTTGTTCCTCTGCTGTCTGTGGACTGATCTCTATGTGTCTCTATGTAGGATGAGGGTCAAAGGTTGTGACCTTTATGCTCCTGAGTGCCTTCTCTCTCCGCTTCCTTACAGTGCCAACAGTGGGCAACTAAGTCCACTAAGAGTCCAACACAAAGTCCAAAGTCAAAGCTAACATTACTGCTAAGCTAGTGGAACATATTGTCTGATTGTGCTGTTAGCTGGATAACGTTAGCTTGGTTGCTAATTGAACATTATCGCTTGCAAAATACCATCTGAGTCGATGTTAGTTGGCTAACAAACAAAGCAAAAAATGTTGTCAACAGTGATTTTCTACGTGTCTACTTAATTATAAATCATCGTTATTCTTTTAGAAGTAGTGCAATACGTGTAAAACTTTGAGAGGCTGATAAATGGATGTTAGATATTTTGACATGAATTAGCAATATTAGTTTGGAGGTGCCTTAAATGAATCAATAAACCCTTAAACATTCAGAGCAGACCGATGAACAGGAGCAACGTTTGGGCTGTTAAAGATCAAATTTAGCTTTTAAGTTAATAAATTACTTTATAAATGTCAAAATTATAAGTGAATTAAGGCCTATATTTACTTTAATGTGATTTATTGCATTTAATGGCTTATTTGTCGGGATCATTCCACCTTAATGTGAAAAGTTTTTTTGGGGGGGTTAAAAGTTTAACTGTCTCTTCATGTAACTGAAATAAAACAGTTTTAGGAACAGACGAGGATGGAGGCAGCGAGTTAAAACTGATGGAAGGAAACACTGAGGACAAACAGCCTTTGTGTCTCTCGCTGACGCTGGCTGTGTGGAGACGTCGCAGAAACACAAAGGACTCATTATTCACATCAAATATTTATATTCTTCACGGTGTCTCTTTCCCCCCAAAACTGACAATCTGAGAGGCTTTTAATTTGTAAAAACAAAATAATTTAATCAAAACATGTTGAGGACAAACACATAGGAGCTTTAGATTTTTTTATTAAGACAATGACAATGTTTTTTAAAAGAACAGCTGAATGTAGCTTATTGACCTGAATAATCAGAATCAGAATCAGAAATACTTTATTGATCCCCAGGGGGACATTTGTTTGTTACAGTTGTCCTACTCACACATGATAAAGAATAGAAATAATACTTATATTACAATATCTAACACAACATATAGAATAGAAATGTATGTATAGGTATTTACATATAGTAAAAGTAAAGATAAAAATAAAAATGGAAATAGAAATATAATAAAAGCCTATATACAAAGTAAATGTAAACATATTCCACAGTATAATAATAATAATGTCCGCAGATCGTTGTTAACTTTGTCACTTAATGTTGATGAATTTGTGGTGAAAATGAAACATCTTGTTCTCACATCGTGTGAACTGAAGACAATATTGATCCAGAGGACAAATATTGAAGATCAAACAGTTTCTACAGCTGCCGGAGGACATGTTTGATCTCATCAGCAAAGACAGCGGATTCATGTTTGACGTCTAAAATCAACAGAAGACAACTCTCTGATTACTCTTCAGGTCCAGCGCGTATGTTAAGTACGTGAATAAAACGTAACGAATGGCAATGTCACAATATAATTATTTGCCTTGCTGGCAGTAGCTAATAGCTATAGAGTAATATGATATTCTTATTTCATGGCATTAAAACACCTCAGAACTTACATTTACACAACCCTGATGGGCTGCTCTCATTATTAACATTATATACTTATATACTGAGGCTAAATGCGAAAAAGAAGTGAGTGAAGAAAAAAGAGATGAGCAAACAAATGAGAAGTAAACAACCGTGTTGGAACCAAACCACACACAGCGTTTGCATTGAAACACAACCTTTCTGGGACGATACACATTGTGTTCTGTACTCTGAAACTGTGCATGTAGGAGACCAATACTGCCCTCCAGAGGCTAACCGCGGTAACTATGCTAACAGTGAAACTGAAAAAAAAAACGCTTTTAAAGTTTTTTGACTGTCCAGCCAAATGTGTGTTATGTAGAATAACAGTTATGAGCTTATTAAATATGTTTTCTTGAAGTAATTTTCATGGCTTTAAAATCATGATGTATGACGAAGACGTGATGACACACAGCACGCTGTGTTTTCGGACGTAAATACGGATGCTACACACGTCAGCGTGTGTGTATCAATTTTGAAGTATTTGTATAATTGCAGTCTGAATGTAGTCTTAGGCTGTGTTTGTATGGCCTTCTACATGCTCTATAATACTGTGCTGACCTTTCACACTTGACTACATTCAAACAGACGTCTGCGTGGGCAGACTGGCTGGCTGGAGAGAAGCTCCTCCTGGCTGACTCGCCAACTCCCCCCACTGGTCCTTCTGGAGCTTCTCAAAGTTTGAGTACTGCCGACACTTGGAGGGGCCTGATCGGGAGGAAAGGCCTCCCCGATCTGATCATCTCCGAGCAGTGTTCTGTGCTGGACTTCTGTGCTAGTCATGGGTTGTCCATAACGAACACCATGTTCTTACATAGATAACTGATCACCATCTGGTGGTGAGTTGGGTTAGGTGGCGGGGGAAGCCAAAGGACAGACCTGGTAAGCCCAAACATGTAGTACGGGCGAACTGGGAACGTCTGGAGGAGGCCCCTGTCCGAGAGACCTTCAACTCCCACCTCCGGCGGAGCTTCTCCGCCATCCCTGTGGAGGCTGGGGACATCGAACCAGAGTGGTTGGTGTTGAAAGCTTTTATTGCTGAAGCTGCAGCTATAAGCTGTGGTCTTAAGGTCTTGGGTGCCTCAAAGGCCGGTAACCCTTGAACACGGTGGTGGACAACCACCAGCCATCCAACTGAAGAAGGAGGCCTTCCGGGATATGTTATCTGGGGGACCTCTGGAGGTAGCTGCAGGGTACCGACAGGCCTGAAGGACTGCAGCTTCAGCTGTGAGGGAAGCAAAACAGCGGGTGTGGGAGGAGTTTGGAGAAGCCATTGAGAAGGACTTTCAGATGGCACCTAGGCACTCCTGGAAAACGTCTGACACCTCAAGAGGGGGAAGCGGGCAACCATTCAAGCTGTGTACAGCGGGGATGGGACGCTGCTGACCTCAACTGATGAGGTAATTGTGTGGTTGAAGAAACACTTTGGGGAACTCCTGAACCCGACTAGTCCAACAACCCTGGCCTCTGTGATAGAGGCAGGGCTGGAGTGTGATGGGGGATCTACACCAGTTTCCCCCCACGGGGGGTTACTGAGGTAGCCAAACAGTGGCAAAGCCCCGGGGATTGATGAAATTCGCCCAGAAATGCTAAAGGCCCTGGGTGTTGAGGGGCTGTCAACAGGGTGTGTGCAAACTACAGAGGCATCACACTACTCGGCCTCCCTGGGAAAGTTCACTCTAAGGTGCTGGAAAGGAGGGTCAGGTTGAACCTCTTATTGAAGAGGAACAGTGCAGGTTCCGTCCTGGTCGTGGAACAACAGACCAACTCTTCACTCTCGCAGGTGTCTTGGAAGGGACCTGGGAATATGCCCATTCGATCTACATGTGCTTTGTAGATTTAGAGAAGGCATATGACCGGGTTCCCCAGAATATTCTGTGGGACATTGGACACTGTTTCTGCTGCTGTCAGTGTCTCTGTACTCGTCCCTCACAAATACACTCATTTAAAAAAAGCTCATTTTTCAATTCAAACTTTTCCGTTTAAAACATGATGAATATAATCATCCTCTTTATCTCTAACTGCTCTGTTCCACTGTCACACTGACCTTCACTGGTAATATCTTCACTTTATCCCAAGAGTCAACGTATGGAAACATCCTCTTAGTGGAAGTGTGTGTGAAGGTGTGTATGTGTGTGTTAGTATCAGGATCAAAGAACGACAGCTTTCCTCTGTTCCAGTCCAGATTCACTCTGATCCTCTGGAACTTCTTCTGAACTACGAGACCAGTGGATGGAGCTGATGGTGACTCTGCATAGTATTTACCTTTATACAACCCTATTCTCCATAATCCAGACCGTATGTTTCCCTTCCTCTGGACAGACTCTGCACACAAACCCAGTCCCCAGACTCTACTGTCTCCAACCTCCACATCCCAGCTGTGAGTCCCTGAGTTAAAGCCCTCAGAGCCCAGAACAGAGCAGAACAAACCAAACCTATCTGGATTTTCAGGAAGCTGCTGTTTCTCTCCTCGTCTCACAGTGGTCAGATCTTCAGACAGGATGAGATCTGGATGAGCAGTGTTTGGATCCAGAATCACAGGAGTGTAGGAGACCATGTCCTTCATCTTGTTCCAGATGTTGAAGGTCAGGTTGCCCAGGTGTTTGGCCTCGTCTATCAGAGCTCCTGAGGGCAGCTGTGGATCCTCCGGCAGGGGATGATGCTGGACTCTTTTCACTGCAGCCTTGTAGTTGTTCAGGAATGAGACGTCTTCAGCTCTCAGCTCCTCCTCTGTGGCTCTGACTGTGTCTGAAAGAGCTGCTATCTCTCTGCTCAGAGCCTCCATCTTCTCCTTCATCATCTGACTCTTCTGCTCCTCTTCCTCCCTCAGTGCAGCCAGCCTGGCCTCCTCTTCCTCTTCTAGAAACTGGCGAAGCTTCTTAAACTGCTCCTTAATCTGCCTCTCTGTGTGTCGGGCCTGGACCTTCATGTGTTCTGCTGTTTGATCAAACTTCACTTTAACTCCTTCAGAAACCTTTAACTTCTCCTTTAAGGGCTCCAGAGATTTCTGGAGCTCCTCTTTGTGATCCAGTGCAGCTTCATCAATGGGTTTGAATCTGTGGTTGATGTGTTGTTTTGAATCTCTGCAGACAACACACACTGGCTGCTGATGGTCCAGACAGAAGAGTTTGAGTTTCTCAGAGTGCAGACTGCAGAGAGCCTCTGAAGATCTCTGATCTCTCTCCTGTAAGAAACTCTCACACAGGTTCTTTAAAGTCAGGCTTAAAGGTGGCTGATCCTTCGAAGATCTTCTTTTACAAACTGGACACTCACGTGTTATTTTTTCCTTCCACCAGCTCTTCAGACAGTCTTTACAGAAGCTGTGGCTGCATGACAGAACAACAGGATCTCTAAAGACCTCATGACAGACCGGACAGCAGAGACCCTCCTCTAATCTGGAAGCCATTTTGTCTCTGAGTGCAGCTGGAAACAGCAGACAACACGTTAAAGAGGTTGGTCAGTTATGGTTCCCGCCCTGCCGTAAAAAGTTGCCTCAGTTACTTTCACTTTGAGTCTTTGAGAGTTTTTACAGTCAGCAGCAGGTTGAAGAACTTCAGAGTACTTCAGTCCTCCGTCCTGTAACTGTCCTCCCTCAGTTAAAGTCACAGCTTTGTAATGAAGGTAAATCTTACCGTCTGTCTGTCTGTCTGTGTGTCTGTCCTCAGTGAGAACTGAACAGGAACAACCTGTTTCCTGGTTGGTCTCAGGTGATGTCATTAAGGTGCAGAGCTTTGTCAGCTGACTGCTGTGTCTCATTTTAAAGGGAAATATGATCCATCACACTGCTCTGAGATCACATCACAAAGAAAACAACCAGAGCAAATTCACTTTTCATATTTCACTCATATTTCATTGATTTTTTTTACTTTGGTTTAAATCCTGTTATAGAAAAATTAATGAGAAAGTCAAAAACAATCAGTGAACCCAATAAAGTCAAAGTTAGATTTCACTTTTGGATCTTCGGAGTCGATGACAGCTGCAACCTGTTAGCTTAAGCTGCAGTCTGTTAACATGATATCATAACGTGGAACCTGTTATGATATTATGCTAAAAGTCCGTTAGCATTATTTCGGGACGTCCTTTGTCTGCCCAACAGCGTGGGAGAAGCAGTGATTTTTAAGGAGGAACTGCTTTATTCAGTGTTTTTAGTGGTTTTAATCAGCGGGTCAGTTTGTTTTGGAGAGGAGGAGACCTCTGTGGATAATTGGGCTCCCGGAAGAAACCTCCTGTACCATGAACACTGAAGCAATCCTCACCGGGAGAAGCTGAGTTTGGTTTGTCCAGGTAGTGTTGCCCAAGCCCAGCAGAGGGCTAGCCTGGGTTGAACCCTCCAGCACTGACTGTATTTCAGGCTTTAGTCCAGCAGGTGTCACTGCTGCATCAAATTTAAAACCCGCTCATGATGGATGATGTCGGTTTGCTGAAAGCTTCCAGATGTCAGATATCTAGAATTTAAAATCCTCCTATAAAGCTCTTCATGGTCAGGCCCCTTCATATCTTAAAGAGCTCATAGTACCCTATTACCCCTCTAGAACACTACGTTCTCTGAATGCTGGGCTACTTGTGGTTCCTATAGTCTCTAAAAGTAGAACAGGAGCCAGAGCCTTCAGTTACCAAGCTCCTCTCCTGTGGAACCAGCTTCCAGTTGTGGTTCTGGAGGCAGACACCCTCTCCACATTCAAGAGTAGGCTTAAGACATTCCTCTTTGATAAAGCTTATAGTTAGGGCTGGATCAGTTGAGTCCCGAACCATCCCTTAGTTATGCTGCTATAGGCCTAGACTATCGGGGGATTTCCCATGATGCACTGAGCTCCTCTCTTCCTCTCTCTCTCTTTCTGCACTCATTCATGTTCCATTAATGCATGTTACTAACTTCACTTCTTCCCCGGAGTTCTTGTGCTTTCTCGTCTCGCAGGTTCTTATCGATCCTGGTGGAGCCTCCTGCCATGGTCCTGCTTGACTGCCATTGCTAATATTACTGATATTATTAGGGACCGAGCCAGCGACTGCTGGAGGTCCCTATTGTATTTGTTATTGTTTCTTATTCTTCTTAGCTATTATTATTATTTTTAGCGCTTTTGACTGCATTTTTGCCCCCCTGAACATATACGAAAACTCAATTTTATTTGGCAAAGTAGTCAGGCCTAGTGAAAAATTGGATATTCTATGCGTCGCTTTCGGGTTGGTCACTAGGTGGCGCTACTATCATGAAAAGTGCATTTAGGGTAATAACTTCTGCATAGTTTGTCGCACATTTAAAAACCTTATATACACGCATTCGGTGAATGGAGCTGAATCTCCCCATATAGGCCTCGCCAACTTTCGCTTACAATTTTTTTCCGCTAGTGTTAGGGATTAGTCATTTCAATATATTTTAACACACATAGATGTGAAAGCCTGCATTTTATAAAGCTGTTTCACACAAAGAGAAAAAACACAGACACATATTCTCATCTATGCTTGCGAGCTACAATAGCTACAAACACCTGAGTCTTCATCAACAAACCTTTTTCACGGACGAAAATTAAATAAAAACTAAATAAAAAGTCAGATATGATGACTAAGACTGACGAAATATAACTGACACTTTATTCAACGAATAAAAATGAGACGTAAATGTTAGGGAGGGACGAATGGAGAAGAGATCCAATCAGAACTAGTCTTTTTGTGGGACAAGTTGGGAAGAAATCCAATCAGAGCGAATCTTTGAGGGTAGGTTGATCTATGCAGAAGCAGCTGAGCCATTTTAAAAAGCCGCGGCAAATGCAGTATTGATTAGACGATTGTCTTACTGAATTAATATGTGTATAAATATTCAATGTCCTCAAATTGAATCAAATGTGTACTATTATAGTAGATGTTGTGGTGTTGTATATGACTGGACAAAGGGTGTGTGTGTGTGTGTGTGTGTGTGTGTGTGTGTGTGTGTGTGTGTGTGTGTGAGGGAGAGAGACAGAGAGAGAGAGGGAGAGATCTGAGGAGATTGGGCAAGAAAGAAAAAAGTCACAACTTGATTCCCCCTTTATTCACCCTCACAGATACAGAAGTCGTCTGATGACAAAGATGACCATGGGCCAAGTGGAAATAAAGCTAGTGCTGCTAGTGCAACCCAGCAGCAGGCCAGAGTCTACAGCTTTCCTAAGTTCTTCAAAGTACAAAACTGAATCGAAGGAACAACTCACCAAGGAGCAGGCCATAGCTAGATGGATTGGACGCACAGGTTTACCACTCACAATAATTGAAGACGAGGACTTTGTGCTAATCAGAAATACTTTAATTTGGAGATAGTAGATAGGAGACTAACAGTTCCAAAGAAAATTGCACTTTATTTTTCTGAATGTTTTTGATTTTGCACACACAGTAGAAGACAGTAAGTTCAGAGTTAGGTGGTTATCTATTTCAATAATATTGTACTTCATCTTGAATGAATGTCATATACATTGCATATCATTCAGGGAGAATGCGTATATTTTGGGAGAGCAGGCCTTATGCTTATTTTATGTGAGATTATCTTTTGTGAAAAAGCCACGGTCAGTGTTTTTGACATTAAGAATAAAATAAAATACATGTTTTGTATTACAACCGTTAAATCTGTGTCTGTATTGCATATTCAAACCTTAATACCATTCCATAACAGACTGATGGATACTTCGAATGACCGGAAATTCTGGAGAAACATTTAGTCGACTAAAATCTGCTAATATTTGGTCTACTAAAACTAGACTAAGACTAAAAGACTTAAGACTAGACTTAGGCTAAAACTCTTATGATATTTAGTCAACTAAAACTAGACCAAGACTAAAAGAGTTCAGATGACTAAAATATGACTAAAGCTAAATGGTGTGTTATTCAAAAGACTAAGACTAAATCAAAATTTGCTGTCAAAATTAACAATGCCTGAGAGAGGAAAAGGCCTCTATAAAGATTTCATGTGTTCGATTGTATGATTGCAATGTATGGTTCTTAAAATGCATTGTGGTTGATAATTGTGAATTACTGAACAAGCAGTGTGGTTTTGAAAATGTGAGGGTAGTAATATCTGCAGTGTCTTAGTGAGGAACCAGAAGGAAGTGTCCAGGTGATCTAAAATCAAACAGTGGAAACCTAACAGTGTCAACAGAAATAGTTTGAACTGGGGCGTGGATGGTGGAGACCTAACGGTGACAACAAAACCACTCCTGCCCTTGTATTCCACCTCAAAAGACAGTTGCTTGGGTGTGACGCCATACAAACAAACTGTCCAGCTACTGGTTCTGTACTAATAGGGTCAGTTGCTTGAGTGAACCCTATACAAACTGACTGGCTGCTCCATCTAGTGGATGAACAAATACATTACAGGATTATAACATTAATTAAAGTGGTGATTGGCTTCATCTAGTGAACGAATAAATTAAAACATTTAAAATACAGGATTAAAACATTTTATTAAAGAGGTGTCTGACTCTATCTGGTTGGTGAAACCAAAGGAGTACGAGCAAAAATAAAATAATATGAGAATCTGCCTCCAGCATTGACTCTTAGAGATTGTAGAACCAATTCCTGAACCTGGCTAAAGTTAACTGTTGTTTTAAGTTTAAAAAAAAAAAAAAGGGGGGGAGTCATTTTGGTGCATTTGTCTTGCTGTTGGAGAGCACATCAAATAGTGACAGATTCTTAATAATAATTCCCAAGAAGTAACCCAGCCTACCCTTCCATCAGTACTCCCTGATATTGATATTGAAGCCGGTGAAGATTGTACAGCACACCATCACCCCTTTGTTTTCTACACACCAGTCCCTAGAAAAGTAAAGACCTTATCTCAAAAAGTTACAGATTTAGAAGCTTGGGCCTTAGCACAGTACGGCCTTGTGCTGCTGTTAATATCTGTCCTGTGGTTACTGAACCGATACCTACCATAGTTGACATGACAGACCCCACCACCCAAGAAGAATTAAAGAAATGTATTGGATGGAAATTGGACAAGCTAAGTTAAAAGATACAATAGAAAAGGAAGGAAAAGATGAAGGAAAAGCTGAGAAGACACTGAACAAGTTATGGGAACTGTGGCAGAAGCAGGGACTGTTATCAAATAGTGACTCTGCCCCACTCCTCACCACTGCTGGAATCCTATGCATGTCCACCCCATCCGTAACGCAATGGAGAGAAGCACACACGGACTGGGAAAAGAAACGAAAGCCCTTCTGGGGAAAAAGCACAATAGAGAAGAAAGAGACTGCCATGCATATCAGCACTATGATTTGCAATTGGATAACAGCTGCTGTACAAAACAAAAAGCAGCAACAAAGACCACCACCCGAAACATCATCACAATCACCCCTGGATCAAACACAGCCCCCCCACCCCCTACCAGAGGACTGTTTCAAGGACAAACCCAAACGAAGGAGAATAGAAAAGGTCAAAGACAATCCGCCATCAGACATTGAAGATTTCGTGTCTGATGTGGACCTGGGTGAGAGCTGATTGGAAGAGAAAAGGTTAGCAGAATCAAAGGCATGTTTGTTGGAAAAATGAAGGGGAAACTTTCCCAAGCAACGGCATGTACCAGACATACTACTGACTCCAGTAACACCAAAAAACAGGAACCAAACTACAAGTAAATGGAACGGCAAAGACAACAAGACAGAACTGAACAAAGTTCAGAAGAAGGAGGAGATGGAGATAAAGGAGAAGGAGAAGAAGGACAATTGAGAGACCTCAGGGAGTTCGCTCGAGTGAATGCATGGAATAGGGAGAAAGGAGGAAGATTGCGTGAACGCAAAGTTGTAATGATGCCTCTAGGACTCATCTCTGCAGGAACACCAGCCTACGTTCCCTTCCAGCACCCAGACCTAGAAGGACTAGTGGAAAAACTGCCACCTCTCCATAGAGGAGCGGGGCCCTGGATATCTACTTTTGAAAGCCTCACTGCCGGCGAAACCCTATGTGTAGGTGACCTACAGTATCCTGGACAACAACGCTCACCCTCTCCACCAGGTCCTAACCTCGAGCAGAAGCACCTTCAGCAACAGACTCATTCCCCCCCGATGTAACACTGAACGCCAGAGGAAATCTTTTCTTCCTGTGGCCATCAGACTGTTTAACTCAACTACCTCCGGCCGCAAGAGGGACAGTGGAGACACTGTGTCCTGAGCCAAATGTCACTTTGTCACTTTATCATTTTTACCCATCATATCACTTCGTCACTTTATTTTGTGTATACTATGCTGATACAATCTTATCACTTTACCACTGTTTATCACTTTAAACAATCGCTCACTATATTTAGTTATTTTATTTAAATTTATACGGCTAACTGCACAGTGCCAACTGTTGTATATTATATATACCTACGTTAACTGTCATTTTTATGCTAGCTTGATTCTTACTCTTGTATTACTTCTCCACTTTTGTATAGCAATTGTTGCACAGCAATTTCCCTCGGGATAAATAAGGCTTCCTGAATCTTGAATCTTGAAAAAGACGATGGAGGAAAAGGCCGAAACTGATCACCTCACCAAAGCATTACTCAAGCAGCAGATTACTGAGAAGAGTCAATCCAAAGAAAAACAGAAAGCCAAACAAATGGTTGTAGTGCAACCCAAGCCACAACATACGCACTCTACAGATGCCACTCCTGATGCTGGAGCAGTGTCGTCAGCCGTAGATAGAGCTGTGGCCAACATTTTGGCAAAGATGTCTTTCGAACCACAGGGACCTCAGCAGGCAATGTTCGCACCCCAAGGACCCCACCTTGGATCTTGGAATCCCAGGGGACAAGGAAGATATCGGAGTGGAAGGGGAAGAGGCGCAAGAATGCATCCAAGGAATGGAGGTTGCTTCATCTGCAGACAAACTGATCATTGGGCAATGGATTGCCCACATCAACAAACAGAATTTCCCCAGCAAGTTCCAATGTATCACCAAGGGGGAAGAGGAGGAGGACGTGGAAGAGGAGGACCAGGAGGGAGAGCACCTCCCTATCCCAATCAGATGACAGTATCTGTTTGGGAAGAAAATTAATACTGACAGGGCCTAGAGTCTGGTGCAGGTCTGCTGATTGCGCAATACATGGTGTGGACTACACCTTGATGGCGGACCCAGAAGCTGCAGTTTCTAGCATCAACGTCCTCACAGACCCTCACCATCATCGGATACTCAGGAAAACCCCAAGTTCAATCCTTTACAATACGACTGGAAGTCCGATTGGGAGCACAGAAGCTAACCCACCAGTTTCTGTATGCACCTGATTGTCCAGTTAATCTGTTGGGAAGAGATTTACTGGCGAAACTGGGACTCACCATTCACTGTACCGAAGAAGAACTTATTATCTGTTCCCCATCTTGGTTTGGACCCCGAATCATTGGACATTCACCCCTTCCTCACCGAATCATGTACATGGCCCCGTCAGCCCTGCCCACAGATCACTTAACCATAGTCTTTTGGTCAAGACTTGTTCCAAATGGTCAAGGAACTCCACATGTACAATTCTTTTACCAGCAATGGAGAGCTTGGGTTCAATCCATCCTCAAAATCTCTGAACCAACTGATCCACTGCATTGCATCTACAATTTCCTCACGTCACCTGATGAGCAGTACCAGGTGGGATGGGACGAAGAAAATGAGGGACAAGATGAACTCCTAATAACACAGGACTACCCACCAGCTAATCACCTGCATAGCAACAGCTGGATATAAAGTGAAGAAGGAGAAGCTCCAGGTATGCAGAAAGTCTGTCACATTTTTGGGAAGAAAAATCCCTGGAGAAGGACACACACTCACTTCTAGCTAGAAAGATACCATCCTCAATCATGGCAAGCCTGTCACAGTACAGCACATGCTTGCTTTCCTTGGACTCACAGGATACAGCAGGAACCATGTACCGAACTACGTTAACCTGACACAACCACTCAGAGATATGATCTCTGCTGCAGGGAACAGGAACTTAACAGCTACGCTGGATTGGACATCAGAAGGAGAAGAGGCGTTCACAGCAACAAAACAAGCACTACAAACCTCAGCAATCCTGACTACACAGACACTTTCTACCTGGATGTTTCTGAAAGGAATGGCATTGTCAATGCAGCACTTTATCAGAAAAAGGAGGGAGAGAGAAGAGTTCTGATGTATCACAGCTCAAAGCTTGACAACATGGAAATTGGACAAGGAAGATGTGCAAGACATCTGGCAGCTCTAGCAATAGTTATCAAAAAAACTGAACACATTGTCATGTGCCATCCTCTCAATATAAACACCCATCATGGTGCTGCAGCATTTCTGAACTCCAGTGCATTCACCTTTTCCACCACAATTTTTCAATTCAATTTTATTTGTATAGCGCCAATTCATAACAGAAGTTGTCTCAGGACACTTTTCAAATAGAGCAGGTCTAGACCGAACTCCTTATAACATTATTTACAGAGACCCAACAGTACCACCATGAGCAAGCACTTTATCAAAGAGGATTTAATTTTTCTAATATTACGTAAATGAAAGAAGGCAGTCCTAGAGGTCTGCTTTATGTGGGAGTTAAATGACAAATCCTGATCAAAGATAACTCCAAGATTCCTGACAGTGGTGCTAGAGGCCAAGGTAATGCCATCTAGAGTAACAATATCTTTAGACACTGAGTCTCTAAGGTTTTTGGGGCCAAGTACAAGAAATTTGTTTTTTTCTGAGTTTAACATCAGAAAATTGCAGCTCATCCAGGATTTTATGTCCTTAAGACATGTTTGTCTATAATCAAACATAACCTCTTGTAACCTTTGGTAATCACTCTTTTTGGGGCGAGGAAAGACAGTAAAAGCACTCCGCTGACTGTGGCTTCTCAATCCAACAAGATCCATGGCCAAGTATTATTTTAATTATACAATTCTAAATAAACTTACCACTAAAAAATGTGTCAACAATCCGCCACTAGGTGGCACTCTGGTGGCACTGGCACTGTGCGGAGACCGTAATAGTTATGAATATGAAATTCACAGGGCACGTGTAGAGTAGTGCCTGAAGCTCACATACCAAAAATTGTGTTTGTCGTGTTTGTAGCGCCCCCTATAGTATTTAAAAACAGCAGCCCTGGCGCCACGTTTCACCAATATGTACGAAACTCGGTAGGCACGTGTAACATGCCAAGACGTACAAATAAGCCGCCGGACCCATACCTCAAACCCCACAGGAAGTCGGACATTTTGATTTTCATTTTCACTTTCGGCAAACTTTTCGCGTTGTATTTGAACGAACTCCTCCTAGGGAATTCATCGGATCTACTCAAAATTGGTCTATACAGTCAAAAAACATTGCTGATTAAAAGTTGTGCTATTTCTGTACATTAAAGGGCGGGTCCGTGGCGTGCCGTCAACGTTGGCCAGGTTGAATCAAATTTCAAACTGTGATGCCATTTCCGGCATTTCAGGGTTTCTATAGCTAATTAGCTTCTGTTTTGCCAACATTACCATAAGATTTAACTAACCAGTTAATTAGCAGCATTTAGCATGGATGCTAACAACCCTGCAGCATCAGCTCCTCCTGAACTCTGGAAACATCTTTCATTCAAAGCTTGTCATCTTCTTCTGTTCTGGTCCTGATCCTGGTTCTGGTTCTGGTTCTGGTTCTTGTCCTGTTTGGTTCGGTTCTGGTTCTGGTTCTGTTCTGGTTCTGTTCAGGAGCTGTTTGTAGGAGTTGCAGAGATTGTTAAAGAGCTGTGGCCCAACTGCTGTGTGTTTGTCTTTTTATAAATTTATCTGATCAATGTAGTTTTTAACTGTCAATCCCCATTAATGCTAACTGTACAAACACACAACTTTATTAACACTGTACAAACACACAACTTTATTAACACTGTACAGACACACAACTTTATTAACACTGTACAAACACAACTTTATTATCACTGTACGAACACACAACTTTATTAACACTGTACAAACACACAACTTTATTAACACTGTACAGACACACAACTTTATTATCACTGTACAAACACACAACTTTATTATCACTGTACAAACACACAACTTTATTAACACTGTACAAACACACAACTTTATTAACACTGTACAAACACACAACTTTATTATCACTGTACAAACACACAACTTTATTAACACTGTACAAACACACAACTTTATTAACACTGTACAAACACAACTTTATTATCACTGTACGAACACACAACTTTATTAACACTGTACAAACACACAACTTTATTAACACTGTACAAACACACAACTTTATTATCACTGTACAAACACAACTTTATTAACACTGTACAAACACACAACTTTATTAACACTGTACAAACACACAACTTTATTATCACTGTACAAACACACAACTTTATTAACACTGTACAAACACACAACTTTATTATCACTGTACAAACACACAACTTTATTAACACTGTACAAACACACAACTTTATTAACACTGTACAAACACACAACTTTATTATCACTGTACAAACACACAACTTTATTAACACTGTACAAACACACAACTTTATTAACACTGTACAAACACAACTTTATTAACACTGTACAAACACACAACTTTATTAACACTGTACAAACACACAACTTTATTAACACTGTACAAACACACAACTTTATTAACACTGTACAAACACACAACTTTATTATCACTGTACAAACACACAACTTTATTATCACTGTACAAACACACAACTTTATTAACACTGTACAAACACACAACTTTATTAACACTGTACAAACACACAACTTTATTATCACTGTACAAACACACAACTTTATTATCACTGTACAAACACACAACTTTATTAACACTGTACAAACACACAACTTTATTATCACTGTACAAACACACAACTTTATTAACACTGTACAAACACACAACTTTATTATCACTGTACAAACACACAACTTTATTAACACTGTACAAACACACAACTTTATTAACACTGTACAAACAACTTTATCAGTGATTTGGGTGAAACTGGATCTTATTTTATGGAGAGAATATTGTCTGTATTCCCCTCTGACTCTGCTAACTGCTGCATTGCCGTTAGCGTGCAACCGAACGGGGCTCAGCTGCCTCCCAGTGAACACAACCCTCCGAGACGACAGCGGTACCGAGGTGATTTATGGAGTTTCCTGATGGACTTGATGATAAGTAAAGTAAGCTAATTTCTGCTAATGGAAATGTTAGCTGCCATTAGCTAGTTAGCTCGTTCAGCTAATTGAATTAAATGACGCTGGTCGGCTATAGAAAGTGTGTAAGTGTTGATCTTTTGTTGTGTTTATCTTCTGATCACAAACTCTGTGAGAATTTTATGTTATATTATTTAATGATCAATAAAACGTGTGTGCATTAATGAAAGACACCGGAGACCATCCAGACTATTGATTGGTTCAGTACAAGTACCTCCAACTTTACTCTCCACCGCTGCTGTCCTCTGAGTGACTGATGGTTTCAGGACAAAGGATCACGTGCTGCAACCTGCTGGTCCTCGCTGGAGTTTAAATTCATTCTGAGTAACCAGTGACCCAGTTCACATGTACTGAAGTACTGCAACTGACACAACCAGTGTGTTATAATACACTCACACTGTGAAATGTCTCTGTCTTTACCTCTGTTCTCTCTGTGTCTCTCTCTCTCTCTGTCTGTCTTTCTCTCTCTGTCTCTCTCTCTCTCTCTCTCAGTCGGGATCTGTCCTAGGTTTCTGCCTCTTAACAGGCAGTGTTTCCTTGCCCTTGTCTCCAAGTTCTCATGGTGGTACTGTTGGGTCTCTGTAATTAATGTTTTAAAGAGTTCGGTCTAGACCTGCTCTATTTGAAAAGTGTCCTGAGATAACTTCTGTTATAAATTGGTGCTATACAAATAAAACTGAATTGAATTGAAATGTCTCAGTTTCAGTTCTATCTTTTATTGTCTCACACAGAAACTGACAACAGCTGGAAACAAACTCTATCAAAACAACCAGAGACTTTATTAATATTTTGAGGACGTTTGTAACAGAATCCTTTGGCTTCCGTAGTGAGAGCCGATATTAAAGTAACTCCGTTCAGATCAATGTCGTTTTATAACATCATAGAAAGAAACTGCAGCTGATAATTTGTACAAATGTGGAACTTTAATTTGATGTTGTTTCCGTTGATAAAGTAAAACAACAGTTTAAACTGTTTTTAATAAAAAGGTCCTTGTTAGTATGTAACTGCAAACACATTATGTCCTTTATCTCAGTTATTACATTTCTTGTTTTTATTTTATCCAACATTATGAACAGGTGGCAGAATAAATAAAAGTTCTATAAAAAAGACTTAAAGACGTAAACTCAGAAAAAAGGTCAATACATGTAAAGAACATAAAAAAATATTAAAGTCAGAATCATGACGATTGAGGTAGACAGGTCCAGTTTAGGCCCCGCCCACCCTGAGCATATTATATTGTATCCCTGCCGGCTCTTCATCCAGCTCTCTTCAGTGGAGAGAGACAGTTGGGCCACAGCTCTTTAACAATGTCTGCAGCTCCTACAAACGGTTCAAAAGAAGAACCCTTTATCGTAACTGGTCCTTCATCACAGAACGTCAGGTTCTCAGTTGGCCAGCATCGAACTGCAGAACCTGAAACAGAACCACAACCTAAACCAGAACCACAACCAGAGCCACAACCAGAAGAAGATGACGAGCTTTGAATGAAAGATGTTTCCAGAGTTCAGGAGGAGCTGATGCTCCAGTGTTGTTAGCATCCATGCTAAATGCTAACTCAAATTATCAATCAGTTTGATCAGAGGATGTCAGGAAAAAACACTGTGAGAGAACTGTCTGTCTGTCTGTATGTCTGTCTGTCTGTCTACCTGACTGCCGGCCTGTCTGTCTGTCTGTCTGTCTGTCTGTCTGTCTGTCTGTCTGTCTTTCATCATTCTCACCCTAACCCTAACCAGTTTGAGTCGCTGTCCTCCACGTGCATGGCGACAGCGGCGTGATGCCAGACATAAAACTGATGATGGTACGCCAGCTCCTCCGCTTCCATCTGCTTCTCATCATCTCTCCGGAGCAACTTATATCTGAACAAGCCCAGACACATAAACCACCATTGTTACTAAAGCCACAATATAAGTCATAAATATCATCAATAAATGTTGTATATAGTTAATTTGACACCTCTGGGCCACCGTAACTGCAGCTATAGAACCAAATCTGGTTACTTTTCCCTCAGAAGGTTTACTTTAGTTCCTACCTGTGTGTCTCACACATGGCCTCAGACCTCCAGATGAAGTGTCCGTCTCTGTAAGTGCACACAGAGTTTGGGTCGTCAGTCAGCAGAGGAAGGTCTGAGAACAGCTGCTGATTGGCCGGGCGGTGGACCAGCACCGCATACATCACTTCCTGTTTGTACAGGACGGTCCTGAACACCCTCATGACGGGTTGAGCACCGGAACAAAACTGGAGACAGTAACAGAGGTTTTAATGGAAGATCTCAGCTCTGAGAACGAGGTTGGAGATTAGAACAATAAGTTAAGCACATTTGATGATTTTGCAGCCGAAGTGCCACCTAGAGGCTGACTGGGGACAACAGTGATGTTTACTCAGTGATTGATCAGCTCTTTCTCTGAGCTCAGCCCTCTCACTTTATTCTGACGTTACTTCATCGTTCATGAAGTTCTGATAAACCCCAATCTGACCCTCAGTACCTGGTCTCTGTAGGCCTTCAGAACCTCCTCCAGGGGGAAGGTGAAGCGGTACGAGCCCAGCCTGGAGGACTTCATGAAGACTGGGGAGGTTGCAAACTTCTCCAGGAAGCTCTGCTGCTTCTGGGCCTGCTCCTCTGTCCGGTCTGGGTAGGTGGTCTCCAGGAGCCTCCTCTCAGCTGACCTTATCTCATCAGATCCCACAACCAGACTCCACCACAGCACAGAGACTTCAGCTGGGCTGTGTCGTGTTTCAGATGAGACACATGAAACTCTGGTCGGGGGTACACTGGGATGTGGTCATTGAAGAGGTACCGGTTTCTCCAACTTTCGGCTTCTGCTTTCTTTCTCAAATCCTTCAGCTTCAAGTGCTGACCTTCAATATATTCATTATTTGGTCGGCAGCTGTTCATGGTGAGATGAGGAATGATACAGAGAAAGTAAATACAGAGTGTCTGCTCTCTCTCTCTCTCCGACAGACCTCTGGACTCTAACAGCAGCCCAGCTGGGAAACCACTCCCATTTCTTTATTTATGGCGGTTCTGCATCACCCTGAGCAAACTGTTAGAATCATGTGAGCGAAGAGAAAGGCGGGAAGAGCTGAGCGCGAGTGCAGAGAGAGGAAGAGGCTTTTTGTGTCCCTGGCTGCCGCTAAAGCGTTAGTAATTAAAAGTCTGGCAATGTTTCCAGAGGGACAGCGTTCGGTGCTCCACAGGGAGGATTGGGACATCTGTTCAGCATCAAAGCCGACTGACCCACCGGAGACACAACCGCCCAGTGTCCGTCACATTCCTGAGGTCCTGAAGTAGTTTGCTTTCTTTCCATCAGTTCCACTCTCCGGACGGTGGGCTCATTGTTATTATAAATAAGGATTTTATAGTTGTTTCATATCAATTTCACCAACAACTTCATATACAATTCAAATAAAAACACAAACCTATTTTCCAGGAAAGTTTGATATTTATATTAAAATCAACCTGGATTCAACTTCCTGTTTGATGCTGACCACGAGTGTGAATCTCCTCGTCTGGGAGACGAACAGTAGCGAGCCGACGACGATCAACCACACCTTCTTTTATGGTGAACCACAGGAGTCAGAAACCTCTGTGGGCACGGTCCCATCCTCATTGTGAAACAGATCTTTATTCTTAAACCGGATCCTGAAATAAATCTACATGTGAAAAAAAAATCTGTGACAAACACGCAACACAAAACAAGAAATATAAAACAACATCAACAACAACAATAATCTATGTAACTGCTTCAGAAAGACACCGTTCACTTTCCTTTAGAGGAAACTTTATTTAAACAACAAGGCAGTTCAAAGTACACAGTGGTGGAAAGTAACTAAGTACATTTACTCAAGTACTGTAAATATTTGAGGTTTATTTTTATTGCAAAGAAATTACAGGACAAAGTGAAAATGATAATTCATTCAAATCAAAAAACAACTTGTTCCAGAGACAATAAAACGTCTGGAGGGTCAATGTGAGGTGGAGGATCGTCCAATGGGAACGCTTCAGGAGCGATCGGCACTTCATGGTGAAGTTACAAACAATTTTACTCGAAATCCACGACATCTGCAGTTCCATTATAAAGATACAGTGTATTCTGATCAATATCATCCATAAAGATACAGTGTATTCTGATCAATATCAACACATAATGAGGAAGACAACGGGAGAGAGCGCCATTTTGCCTCTGTTCTGGCCGTTTGTCAGCAATCTCCCAGCGCAGTCAGCCTGATTATTGTTCCATAAAAGAGCTCGGAGGAGGTCCAGTTGGTTCTCTCTCCAGCGGGCAGCGACAGTCGGGCCACAGTTTCACTTCAACCAGATGTTTCGCTTGCAGGAAGTCATCGAACCTGTTGGGAGGGATGATAGCCGGCGTCGCTCTGTCGCAGAACGAGAGCGTCTCTCTCAGTCGGTCGCCATCAAACTGCAGAACCTGAAACAGAACCAGAACAGAAGGAAGGACTGCGTATTTAGCATCCAGGCTAAATGCTAACTGATAATCACTATAATGAACCTTTCTGTCCATATTCTGAGATTAACAAATCCATGAGCCTCAGGTCATATCAGAGCTGTCATGAACCAGGACCAGGACCAGGAATAGGACCAGGACCAGGACCAGGACCAGGACGACCCGACTCATTAATCTGGAGACTACGGACAGAAACTCCAGTGGACAGTAAGTTAGAACTAGTTGAAGTTACGTGTTCGTCCACGTGCAGGGCGACGCCCACGTGATCCCAAACATAGAACAGAGACTCCACGTCCTCCACGTCCATCAGCTTCACATCGTCTCTGCAGACCAACTGATACCTGAAACAGTCTGTGGTGAGTTCACTGTCTGTAATAACAGTGGGACAGTGTCTGTGGTGAGTTCACTGTCTGTAATAACAGTGTGACAATGACTGTGGTTAGTTCACTGTCTGTAATAACAGTGGGACAGTGTCTGTGGTGAGTTCACTGTCTGTAATAACAGTGGGACAGTGACTGTGGTGTCACTGCTAGTGGGACAATGTCTGTGGTTAGTTCACTGTCTGTAATAACAGTGGGACAGTGTTAAGTGTCTGTGGTGAGTTCACTGTCTGTAATAACAGTGGGACAATGTCAGTGGTTAGTTCACTGTCTGTAATAACAGTGGGACAATGTCTGTGGTTAGTTCACTGTCTGTAATAACAGTGGGACAATGTCTGTGGTGAGTTCACTGTCTGTAATAACAGTGGGACAATGTCTGTGGTTAGTTCACTGTCTGTAATAACAGTGGGACAGTGTCTGTGGTGAGTTCACTGTCTGTAATAACAGTGGGACAGTGCAGTGACTGGGCTCAGTTCCTACCTGTGTGTCTCACACATGGCCTCAGACCTCCAGATGAAGTGTCCGTCTCTGTAAGTGCACACAGAGTTTGGGTCGTCAGTCAGCAGAGGAAGGTCTGAGAACAGCTGCTGATTGGCCGGGCTGTGGACCAGCACCGCATACATCACTTCCTGTTTGTACAGGACGGTCCTGAACACCCTCATGACGGGCTGAGCACCGGAACAAAACTGGAGACAGTAACAGAGGTTTTAATGGGAAAGGTCCAAATCAGCCCATCAACTAACACCGGACCCACACCGCGCAGCCCAGCTTAGCTTAGCTACAGTTAGCTTGCTGGATGCCCCTGCCTCATTAGCCAGCTACACTGAATAACATTATCTAGCATCATTCATCATTAGCTACATTTGTAAGCTAACATTAGCTAGTGTTGCACACTGTTGACACTGTAAGTGGTTCCCAACCTGAGGGTAGAGACCCCGACTGGGGGTCACCAAAGCTTCACAGGGGGTCGCGAGACCTTCTTGATATTTGAGAAAACGTAGAAATCTACGCAGCAGGCCGATATCGCAGTGATATGTAAAGTAAATTGTTAAAGAAAGTCAAACATCAAGGACGAGAAAAAACGCTGAATTTGTGAAAAAAAGCCTGTTAAGTTGGTATGATTATTAAAATGCTAAAAACACAGATTCAAATTCAAATTCATCCAAATCTGGTTTTACACAAACTTCCTGCATTTCCTGACTTCAGTGTTTGGGTTCATTGTTTTGAATATTAAATGAAATATCCATAAAATCTGTCAGTGAGTCAGTTTAATGATAATAGAAAGGGAACATGTCACCGGTTTGAATTCAAACACTGTCAGAAACTGATTCAGTGCTTCAGAGCCGCTGGATGGAGGTTAATCTGACCCTCAGTACCTGGTCTCTGTAGGCCTTCAGAACCTCCTCCAGGGGGAAGGTGAAGCGGTACGAGCCCAGCCTGGAGGACTCCATGAAGACTGGGGAGGTTGCAAACTTCTCCAGGAAGCTCTGCTGCTTCTGGGCCTGCTCCTCTGTCCGGTCTGGGTAGGTGGTCTCCAGGAGCCTCCTCTCAGCTGACCTTATCTCATCAGATCCCACAACCAGACTCCACCACAGCAGAGAGCCATCAGCCGGGTTCCTGAAGCCACCGTCCCTCCTGATCCCACGTAATCCCACTCTGTCAGTGTCGTGTTTCAGATGAGACACATGAAACTCTGGTCGGGGGTACGCTGGGATGTGGTCTTTGAAGAGGTACCGGTTGTTCAAACCGTCTTGCTCCTTCAAATCCTTCAGCTTCAGATGACCAACGAAAAGCTGCTCGTTGTGTCCTCTCCTGTTGACTCTGTTCATGATCCGATCGCGAGAGAGAACAGGAGTGTTTTTCCTTTCACTTTAGTCTCTCTGATCTGTGAACAGCAGAGCGCTGAGGCAGAGAGCACAAGCGCCATCGAGTGGCGGCTGTCAAGATAAAAAAACAGGACAGTTTTGTCTGAGATATGAAAATAAGTCACACCCACTTCTTCTTTTATGGTGTGAGTCTGTGCAGAAACAGGGTCAACGGTTTCCTGTTCCTACAATGAGTCCTTTCTTTGCTTTTATATATTTCTTTTTTCTTCCAGCAGCTCACCTTCCACACTGTCTCTACACTGTGTGTGTGTGTGTGTGTGTGTGTGTGTGTGTGTGTGTGTGTGTTGTTGTCTGTGTGTGTGTGTGTGTGTGTGTGTGTGTGTGTGTGTGTGTGTGTGTGTGTGTGTGTGTGTGTGTGTGTCTGTGTGTGTGTGTGTGTGTGTGTGTGTGTGTGTGTCTGTGTGTGTGTGTGTGTGTGTGTGTGTGTGTGTGTGTGTGTGTCTGTGTGTGTGTGTGTGTGTGTGTGTGTGTGTGTGTGTGTGTGTGTGTGTGTGTGTGTGTGTGTCTGTCTGTGTGTGTGTGTGTGTGTGTGTGTGTGTGTGTGTGTGTGTGTGTGTCTGTGTGTGTGTCTGTGTGTGTGTGTGTGTGTGTGTGTGTGTGTGTGTGTGTGTGTGTGTGTGTGTGTGTGTGTGTGTGTGTGTGTGTGTGTGTGTGTGTGTGTGTGTGTGTGTCTGTCTGTCTGTCTGTGTGTGTGTGTGTGTGTGTGTGTGTCTGTGTGTGTCTGTCTGTCTGTGTGTGTGTGTGTGTGTGTGTGTGTGTGTGTGTGTGTGTGTGTGTGTGTGTGTGTGTGTGTGTGTGTGTGTGTGTGTGTGTGTGTGTGTGTGTGTGTGTGTGAGGATTACTGTGGATCTTATTTACTCTCAGTGATATTATTCTAACCTGTTGTTGGATCTTATTCATCTGGATGAATATAAAAAATAGATTAAAATCTATTCTTTAGACTCTTTAGTGTTGATAAAAATACTTCATATTAATTCAACATACTGTAGTAAGCTGTGAATATAGTGTGTTCATTATTATTATTATTATTATTATTATTATTATGTGTTGAATTCTTTTATTAATGTACTTTACTATATTTATTTATTGATTATTGTGGCGTTGTTGTCGTTCAGTGTTGTTATGTTTGTTCCGGTCAGATAAAAAAATAAAATAAAACAACTTTTATTCTGAAGGTTGTGATATCCGGAAGTCTGATGCCGGTCCGCCGCCCTCTTTCTTCCCAGGGTGGTGAAGTCATGTCCCGCCGTATTCTACCTCTGATTGGCTTACTCCGATATTGTCGCCCCAACTCTAACCAATCACATTCCTCATACCTATGACGACAACGAGAGCTAGCCAATCAGAAGCGGAGTAGGGCGGGTCGTGACTTCGCCACCCTGGGACAGAAATTAGCGTCCGGTGTCCGGTTAGAATCATTAAACTAACCGGAAAACGGAAACAAAAAGTCTGTCAGCGACATTAACGCGACCGGAGCGGCGGTGGAGAAGTTTCACATTTGGCTTAAAAACTGTTTACAGACACATTTGACGTCAGAGTCGACAGAAGCTCGTGGGTAACAGTTAGCTAACAGTTAGCTAACCGGAGCTAACAGGATTAGCTTTAAATGGCTGTGAAGAGGAGCACGAGGCGGAAGCAGCAGGGGGGCAAACCAACGTCACTGAATCACCTGTAAAGGTAAACAAACACGTGGTCAGAGACAGAGGACAGCACACCAGACTCCATTCATAATTCTCCAGATTTTAGAGTTCGGTCTTATTGCTGCAGAGAGTAGTGCTGGTTTACTGATCGATATTCGATGTGATGGACTCATCTACAGTTCGGCTAACTTATAATCAATAATCTACACGGTAGTAATAGTAATCGATTACATTTAGGACTGAGCTGTACTGTGTATACTGTAAACATCCTGTTGTCCTAGCTGTTGTAAACAGACAATATGGATTTATTTCAATCGATAACTGATCAGGTCACATGTTTGTGTTTAAATAACGTTATAACCTGTAGAAAGGCTGAACAAAGATGGATGATTAGCTCTGTTCTGACATCACTGTTGTTTACAACAACAACAACAACAACAGTTGTGACTCTTCAGATGTTCATTATAAAACTTCATAAACATATTTTGACTTTTATAAAACGTAAAGTTGATCAATCATGTTTTTTATTAAGAATTAAAAATAAATTATTATGAATATAAACCGATAATCAATAATAATATAAACATCCCATTATCAATAATTAATCAATACTGTTCATTATTGTGCATCCAGACAATAATGTATTTGTTTATAATCAATAATATGAACTATTGATCAGATGAAGATTGATCCGTCCACCAGAGGGCAACGAGGAGCTGATTTCTCATCAATAAAAGGTCCTGATCAGTTTGATATTGATCACAGTTTGGAGGGGATCAAGGATTGATCATGTTGCATATTGTTATTGATCAGTTCGGTCTATGGGTCTGATAGTTAATGAACTGATTGATCAGTATTGATCGGTTGTGTTGTGGTCCCTCCAGGATGCTCCAGGGGCCGTACGGCAGCCTGGACCGGGACCGGCCCCTGATCCGGCTCCAGTTCACCGGCTTCGCTGTGGGGACGGTTCTGCTCCCTCTGACCGGCCTCATCGGCTGCCTGTTCATCGCGCTCATGTACCACTACGAGGACGCCACGTACACACACTGCCACGTGAGTGCCGCCTCCTCATCGCCGCTCACAGCCGAGGCTTCTGGGGGATTTGAGGATTGTTTGTTGTTTGCAGAGAGACAGAGATCCACTTCCTGTTTACAGGACGAGCTCGGCGTGAACACAGACTGTCTCTTTCTGCTCCACCAGGTGTCCAACTACCTGCCGTCCATCAGCGCCGCCATCAGCCGCGTGCCGGAGCGCTACATCTGGCGCTGCTGCATCGGCCTGCACTCGGCGCCGCGCTACCTGGTGTCCGCCGCCTACTTCAGCTTCTACCGCGGACGCTTCGCCAAGAGGCTGCCGGAGCTGCTGCTGAGCGGCCTCGCTCTCCTCTGCAGCCTCGCTGAGAACACCGGCCTGCTGCTGCTCACATACGTGTCGTCCACCGAGACCTACAGTGAGTGCGCCGGCCAATCACAGCACAGATACACCTTATAAGTTAAAGCATCAGATTCTTCTTCCAGGCTTTTATCAGACGTCCATCTTCAGGTTAGTTATCGCTTTGTGTCACTACTGAACGTCAGTCATTATCCCCTCATACAGTCATTGTCATACAGTCATTATCATACAGTCATTATCCTCTCATACAGTCATTATCATACAGTCATTATCCTCTCATACAGTCATTATCATACAGTCATTATCCTCTCATACAGTCATTATCATACAGTCATTATACAGTCATTATCCCCTCATACAGTCATTATCATACAGTCATTATCCTCTCATACAGTCATCATCATACAGTCATTATCATACAGTCATTATCATACAGTCATTATCATACAGTCATTATCCTCTCATACAGTCATTATCATACAGTCATTATCATACAGTCATTATACAGTCATTATCCCTCATACAGTCATTATCATACAGTCATTATCCCCTCATACAGTCATTATCATACAGTCATTATACAGTCATTATCCCCTCATACAGTCATTATCATACAGTCATTATCCCCTCATACAGTCATTATCATACAGTCATTATCCTCTCATACAGTCATTATCATACAGTCATTATACAGTCATTATCCTCTCATACAGTCATTATCATACAGTCATTATCCTCTCATACAGTCATTATCATACAGTCATTATACAGTCATTATCCTCTCATACAGTCATTATCATACAGTCATTATCCTCTCATACAGTCATTATCATACAGTCATTATCCTCTCATACAGTCATCATCATACAGTCATTATCATACAGTCATTATCATACAGTCATTATCATACAGTCATTATCCTCTCATACAGTCATTATCATACAGTCATTATCCTCTCATACAGTCATTATCATACAGTCATTATACAGTCATTATCCCCTCATACAGTCATTATCATACAGTCATTATCCCCTCATACAGTCATTATCATACAGTCATTATCCTCTCATACAGTCATTATCATACAGTCATTATCCCCTCATACAGTCATTATCATACAGTCATTATCCTCTCATACAGTCATTATCCTCTCATACAGTCATTATCATACAGTCATTATCCCCTCATACAGTCATTATCATACAGTCATTATCATACAGTCATTATCCTCTCATACAGTCATTATCATACAGTCATTATCATACAGTCATTATCCCCTCATACAGTCATTATCATACAGTCATTATCATACAGTCATTATCATAGTCATTATCATACAGTCATTATCCTCTCATACAGTCATTATCATACAGTCATTATCCTCTCATACAGTCATTATCCCCTCATACAGTCATTATCATACAGTCATTATCCTCTCATACAGTCATTATCATACAGTCATTATCCTCTCATACAGTCATTATCATACAGTCATTATACAGTCATTATCCTCTCATACAGTCATTATCATACAGTCATTATCCCCTCATACAGTCATTATCATACAGTCATTATACAGTCATTATCCTCTCATACAGTCATTATCATACAGTCATTATCCTCTCATACAGTCATTATCATACAGTCATTATACAGTCATTATCCTCTCATACAGTCATTATCATACAGTCATTATCCTCTCATACAGTCATTATCCCCTCATACAGTCATTATCATACAGTCATTATCCTCTCATACAGTCATTATCATACAGTCATTATACAGTCATTATCCCCTCATACAGTCATTATCATACAGTCATTATCCTCTCATGCAGTCATTATCATACAGTCATTATCCTCTCATACAGTCATTATCCCCTCATACAGTCATTATCATACAGTCATTATCCTCTC